TCGTTTGACCCTCCGTGGAGCCATGTAAAAAGTTCTATTCATTCGAACCCGTTAAAATTGATACGAGTGGATGAAGGGTCAAACCACGACGGGTTTACCCTAAATTTGATGTGTTAGAGTTTTAGAATATGTAGATCAAGTTCAACGGAGCGGATCATCGACAATGTAGCTCAATCAAGTGATCATCAATGACTAAGAAATTTAGTGGACGTCCACTTAAGTTGACATAAGTTTTTCTCTCTCTCACTCTCAATATATATATATATATTTTTTATATATATATATATATATATGATATATATAGTGAAGAAATGATTTAAGGACCCAAAATATGGGACTAAGGGAGGGACATGTGAAGGTGTCCCCTCTCTATTGCATAATGAGTTGGCCATGCCAACTCATGGCAATCATTATACAATAGGGAGGGGACACCTCATCATGTCCCCTCCCTTGGTCCTATATTTTGGGTCCCGCGTAGCAGCACTTCTCTCTCTCTCTCTCTCTCTATATATATATATATATATATATATACTATATATATAGAGAGAGAGAGAGAGATCTAGGTGTGTGTGTATCTTGGGTTTCTAAATCTAGGTGTGTGTGTATATTTATATATATACATATATGTAGGCTTTTCATGAAATAGAATCCTAAAGCAGATAGCTTGAGAGAGGAGGGATCTTTCAAGATTGGTGGGCTAGTCCCGCCGCATGTATTGAGTTAATTACTTATGCTTTTGTGTTCTTCTACATATAAGCAATATTGAAACCTTGAACAACTCATGAGCATCTGTGAAAGCATAAACCTAGTTTGATTGTACTATATGTATATCTATATAATGACTAACTATGAAACAGGCTTATACCTTACTTGCCTCCTGTTTTTTGGGGGTTGTTTTCTGCAGCAACATTATCATGACTGTATATTCTCTGATAACCAAACTTCTGTAGTCTCAATAAATAGGTGCCACACTCATTTCCCCCATATTTCCTCACCCTCCTGTTTCTTGTTTAGTGTCCATGAGTAATCTGTTGACTTCATCAATCAGGAAATACTTCCTTTTGGTGTGGCATTAAGTTGCAGGCCTTAGTATGCATCTAAACCTTCTAATATCTTTTTCTTGGAAAGACCTTAGCAACTACTTCCAAAGAGATCAATTGTTATATTTCATCCAGACAATGTGATGTGAATTGGTTAGTGTTGGAAAAGGGGTAATTTCCAGTGGATAGTAGAGAGAAGATCTACAATAAAAAAAAGAGAACTATTTATGTGAAAATGGAGTAATATATATTGTAATTCTACCAAAAAAACAAAAGGAGAGCTAGGAGCCTAGGAGTGGTCATTTTTGTTACTTAAGATTATTATTATAGTGAGCTTGAGAAGGAATTTATTCAGAAATCAGACTAGAATAGCTAAATGTGAAAAAAAGAAAGAAAGAAAGAACGAACGAACTGGTTCTGATTCCTGAACTATTATAATTTTCAGTAGATATGCCCGGGCTTACAACACGAATACATATGCAACAGCCTGCTGCAATGACCGTATGTAGCCTGCATATTTCAAGAGTTGTCAATCACAACTCTTTGTGATTCAGCTTATGAATGTTGCAATTTTGGCCAATTAACTGAAAGTGGATACATGGATACTACTCAAATTCCTTCTGGGCCCAATCTGTTGACTGAAAGCATATTTGTTGATTTCTGGAACTTTATCCTGCCTTTTAATTTGTTTAGGGAGATGCTCAAAACAAAGGCGTTTCGGACCACCTGCTCGTTATAGGGTGGTCGGTCACTGGTCAGAATTCAAAAAAGGTAACCAACATAGACTGGTTGGGGATAGTACTGTGTGTGCTTACATGTTTGTGGAGGTGACTGATCCCAAAAGTTTGGAATAAAGGCTTAGGTGATGGTGTTGTCAGGGGCTCCCTTTCTATTGCATGCAAAGTTCTAATTTGAGGGGTTATTACATACGAATTTATTCATTCACCTTGATGATATAAACATTTGAGTGTATTACACACGTCTGTCAAGCAAATACATTTTTCTAATTGGAAAGAGGATGAAGAAGAAGCTTAATTTTATCTCGCTTTTAGTTAATGTACTCTCTTGGTGATTAATTGTTTCCTATATTTCTACGCAGGAGGAGAGAAGAGGCACAGAAATTGCTCAAGGAATCGCTTCAAACTTTGGACGGAAATGTAGACTGTTAATTTGAGCATTGAATTTCTTAGACAGCCTCTATCGTAGTTAATACGTTCTTCTATTGAAATACTTGTGTGATTGTATCAAATTTGAAGAAATTAGTATAGTAGAATATTAAACTGTGACTAGTCTCGGATATCTTCGTGTATGCTGTATTTACCGAGCGCCCTTTTTGGTTCGGTGTTCATGGCTGCAGAGTAAGGTTTTAAATGTCGGCCGACATGTACGACATGTCGGCCGACATATCGGTTTGAGGGCTTGACCGACACGCCATGGACGTTTTCAACTCGTATGTCGGTTTTCAGGGCTAAATTGGAAATATTAGGGTCATATCGGGCATATCGGCCTATTTTTAAGCTTTGAAAAATCGGCTGATATGATACTTTTTTTAAAGGTCTGTTTTTTGTTACGGGTTTGGGTTTAGTGATAAATACCCAAACTCGTTTGACCCGTTCTCATGTTTAAGAATTTTTTATGAACCCGATAGAAAGAATTTATGAACGCAAATCCATATATTATTTACTTTTTTATATGTTTAGTCTATAGAATTTATAAAGTATGCTTATATTGAATTTATGAATGCTTAGATTACATTTAGGACATGATATTATACATATGCGCCTACCCGATATGGCAATCCGATATTTAGTCAATGTCTCCCGATATATCCCCGATTTTCGCTATCCGACATGAATTTCAGCCATCCGACATGAACCCGACATCCGATATTTAAAACCTTGCTGCAGACTGAATTTGATAGCAAACTGATAATTATGACATGTGCAAAATTATAGAAAAGGAATAAAATGGATAAATTTCACAGAACAATCATGAAGTAAAAGGTTCTGAATGGATGAAATACATGTGCTATGTTTATTGGAGGAAATATAAAAAATATCCGTAAATTAAATATCACAACTCTTATGTATGTTTCACAAGACTATCATGAACTCTCAGATAAAGTCATCAACAAAAATGAAAGTTACCTTTTAGATACTATCATAAGGTGACACATAGTTTTCTATAGCATATTAATTTTTTTATTAAAAGTTTTAACGAAAAGAAAGATTTCACAACAATTCATATAATTTTTATGAGTTGTTTATGTAGTTCTGTAAATAAAATTATGACTAAATATCATAAAACCCCCTTAACTCTGGAAGATTATGAGAAAATCCTCCTTAACTTTCAAAATATCAGAAAAACCCCGTTATGTTTAGGGGTTATGAAAACACTCCGTGCACCCCCAAAAAACCTTTGAGCGGGTTTTTACGATAACCCTTATCCTTAAAAGGGAGTTTCGTGATATTTTGAAAGTTAAAGGGCGGTATTCCACGCCTCGTTGGAGGGTTTTCTGATATTTACCCGAACACGCCAGATACCCGGCCCATTTAAACTCGTTTGACGGGCCGGGGTAGAAGTCATGCCGGCCGAAAATCCGGCCCGGGACTTCTGGATTCTTCCAGATGAAACCTGCATCATTTTCTTGGCATCCAAGCTAGAGATCAGAGGAGAAGGCAAGCAATTTCTCAAAAGAACAAATTGAAGAGAGAGAGAGAGAGAGAGATGAGCAGGTACATATCAGAGTAGCAGAGCATAGAATCGAGGTGAACGAGGCGTAATATGCTTACACCCTGCTGAGACATTCCAAGTAGTCAATTAACGAAGCATACATCAGCCTCAGAGCCGCAGCATCCGGTCACGCCGCCTCATTCTTCACCAACGCCCTCATCTACCTCCGCCCTGGCGTCCTCGACGAGCTCCTCCCTCGCATCGACGACGTCTGGTTCAACCCTCACCTCATCGTAAAGGTCCAACTCCTTCCCCTCAATTCCCCCCCAATTTGAGTCCCCACATTTTGTTATTAGTGAATTTGGATGGCTCAATTTGAACACCTAGGGCGTTATTCATCAAAATTTGTGGAGGCTTATGCCAATTTGCATTTTTTTTTCAAGATACCCCCTAACGGTGTGACTGGGCGCTATCTTGGAAGCTTCATTAAAAGTTCTTGTTTTTTTTTGCCGCCCCCCCCCCCCCCCCCCACTCCCCCGGCGCGAAAATATTGTTGAACAGATTGGTTTTCTGAAGAAAAATGTGGAAACTTTTTTTGGTGGTTTTCTGAGAATACTGTTAAAAAGTGTGAGGGTTGTTGAAAAGAAATGAGATTGATGAGAAGCGTCGAGGAGAAGCGCCAAAATTTTATCATACCAAGAGTTGTGTAAATTATAAGAAAAAGAATGAAGTATTCCCCACCCCCACCCCCACCCCCCCCCCCCCTTCAAATAAAATAAAAAAGAGAGTAGGATTCAACGATAACTTTATATCTAGACCGTATCAAGATTGAACGTTCGATTCAATTTGATGGAAGCTTTTCGATCTAAATAAAACCTAGGAAGGTGAATTTTATAAACCTAAGGTATATAAAATTTAGTAGAATTTGTCGCTGGAGAACATAATATTGTGCAAGGCGGAAGCGGTCGAATCACACACAAGCCAAACAAGAGAGATTACAACCAAAATAAACAAGCACAATCACCAAATAACACAAGAGATTTACGTGGTTCGGCAATTGCCTACGTCTACGGGGCAAGGGGAAAGATTTTACTAATAGAGAAAGAGAAATACAAAATAGGGTTACGAAATCTCACCAATAAACCCTAGAACCAAGCTCTCAATTCTCTCACAATCTCTCCTACAAAGGATGCTCTATTCCCTGTGAATAGCTGCTCAAAGCGACCCTCTTAGTTGGTTCTTAAAACCCTAAACTCGTGTTGATATTTATATCAAACATCAATCCCAAACCAAACAGGAAAACCAAAAGCAGGTTGAAAACCCGACATGAGTCGACTCATGACTGAGGTGAGTTGACTCGTCAAAAACTTCATACAAAACAGAAACCATCGATGAGTCGACTCATCACCGAGATGAGTCGACTCGTCAGAAACTTGTGACAAAACGGTTGGGTTTCGTGAGTCGACTCAACCTGATGAGTCGACTCATGTGCATGTATGAGTCGACTCACAATCTGAAAACTGGATTTCTGAATTCTTCCAATAATTCACCTCGGCGAAGTTTCTCCCAAACTGAGCCGACACTAAAGCATCCACAAACATCCCACTTGTTGCGTTCAGGACGCCGTGAAACAATTCACTGCAACAGACTCAATCCATAACAAGTCGAGAATCCAAATGAGAGTTCAAACAATCTTCCCCCATCAAAACAACTAATCCAAAACGGAATCCAAAATGACTGCATTATAAAGATTGCCTACGTATTCTCTTGCCTAAGGAATCAAGTCTCACGTAGTTCACCAAATGGTCTCCAAAGACCTCAATCCACTAGAAGAGTTCATAACCCTTCTCTAACATCACAATCAAGTTTACGGCTGATAGCACCTCCAATGGCTCCAAAGTGAAACAATCCAAACGTCGCCACTGAGATGAACCAATGGTCATATCCAGACTCCAGCTATCAGCTGCACTCGAATCGATCAACCTATCATCTGTATCCAAATCAACACGATTCTCAATCTGTGTCACATCAGTTGGAATCCCAAATGATGTAATATGATCTGGAGTCTCCACCCAACGTGGAGTAGCATCACTCTCCACCCGCTACAATATCCTAAAGATCTGATCACCACTCTCCACCTGCCAAGAGTCAAATATGATATACCTGTTCAGAACGAAATCAGAAGCTCCCAAATGATAACCAAACGAGCCTCTGAATCCTAAACGCGCAATCGGATCAAATTCACATCCTCGATGTGACCAAGTGCTGGGTAACTAAATATCCGACGCTAATCAAAATCTGAAGTAGCTCCATCAGATCCAAAATCTCTACATGCAGCAGTCGGTAACCTATGCATAAGATGGCTCAAACATGTCGTAGCCCGCACACCAATGCCAATGCTCGACATCAAACGTCGATCCTCCTTCAGAAAGGAACATCTCCCCAAATTTCTCATCTCATCACGTCACCTCAAAGTTTTCACACCAATAAAGTGTCTCCAATTGCCTTAAGCTCGGCACAAACGCAAGAAAGAATCCCTACCATAAACAGAACGTCGGGTTATCTTTTTGCCAACACACTTCTTCCAATTGTTGTGGACTTTTAGGACTTCACACCAACGGGACATGGTTACAACCCACTAATGTTTAGAACAATCCTCAATTACGGAAACTACATACCTATTACCTCCCAATGATGCTTCCTTGGAAGGCCCCCTAAATACCTGAATGAACACCTCTCAGAAGACCCATCAAATGATGAATAGAAGTGTTAAACTTTACCCCGGTCTTCTTGCTCTGATACGAATCGCCGTGCGAACACCTTTGATCGCGGAATTATTAAAGGTGGGTTGAGAAGAGGATGACAGAAACACAAGAACAATTCAGTATGTGGCGAAGGAAAATACACTCTAGATTATGAGTATGAAAAGATTACAATCTCTCTCATAATCTCGCTAGAATCGAGAACAAGCTCTCAATTCTCTCTAAGTCCTAATCTCTCTTAATTAGAATCTTACTTTAATTACATCTGATTGATTAGAAATAACCAAGCCTAAACCCCATAGGAAAACGTGTAAACAGAAACCCAAACAAACCAGGAAACCATCGATGAGTTGACTCACGACTGAGATGAGTCGACTCGTCTGAAACTGGACAAAACAAAAAACCGCAATGAGTCGATTCATGACTGAGATGAGTCGAATCGTCAGAGATTGGTGACAAACAGCCGAGTTTCATGAGTCGACCTATGACAGGCATGAGTCGACTCAACCTGATGAGTCGACTCATGTCTGTTATGAATCGACTCACGGGTTGAAAACTGGGTGTTTCGATTCTTCGATTCGTCGTCTCGTTTCACGCTTCAACCCGCGTTCCACTATGCTGTTTTACACCTCTATTCCCAAGCTACCATGAGAATCATCTATCCTCAAGTTCTCATGAGGATCGCTAAGTTCCGAAGAGAAGATACACCCGTATCATGGGCCCCCCCTTTAGGAACTTGAAGTCTCGTTGAAGTTAGAACTTCAGCTGAGGAAACTCCCGACTCCTCTATCTTTTCTGCACCACCTGGCCTTGCTAGGACCTTGATAGCGACGTACAACTGGAAACGACTCCTTCGCTCCTTGCCTTGTCGTAGTCATCTTCCGTTCCAACATGCAATCCTCTTTCGATGGCTTTTCTGAAAGTCTAATGCATAACGAGACAAACTTTTTGTTTTCATTCACTAGCCTATTCGCTCGCGTCGCCGTCCCCAAACTTGTCCCCCTCGGAAGAGATGCCGAACGAAATATGAACTTTTCACCACCTTTGGTGAATGTATATTTCTGAACCCGCCTCTCGTAGACTGCATATCTATCCCATAAGTACGGATTGCCCAATATAATCTGACAAACATCCAATGGAACTACGTCGCACGTGATCTCGTCAATATACGACTAATGGAGCGCAAATCTGATAGTGTATTGATCAACTACACCCAGTCATGGTTTTAAATATCGGCCGATAATCCGATATTATCGCCGAGTTATCGGATTTGGGAGCTTTCCGCTAGGATAAGTAGGATTTTTAATCGGTTATTGTTTTTTGAGGTTTATCGACGATAAAGGTACTTATCGGCCGATAAGTAGGCTCTAAATATCGGCTTTATCGGCCGATAAGTAGGATTTGAGAGCTTTTACTTTCTTTTGGATTTGCACTTTAAATGTTTACAAATTATGAACTATTTGTTGCTTTTGGAACTTGGTTGATTGGTGATTAGCTTATGTTTGTTTATGGATATTGATAATGGCTCATAACTACTAAATATCAACTTAGTAAGTTAGTTTATGAATCTCATGATTAAACAATAATTATGTAGATGCGTAGATGGTTCTTCATTCTTGATGTTATCTTATTATTTGCTAGTTTATTATTTCATTTTGACTAACATTATATTATTTTTCAAGCTTATGTTTGTTTATTATTTGCTAGTATATTACTCCGATAAATACTACTTATCCCCGATATATCCCCGATTTCCGCTATCCGATAAGAATTTTGACAGTCCGATAAATCTCCGATAACCGACATTTAAAACCTTGCACCCAGTCTCTTCTCCTTCTAAATCCACCCCAATGGATAGGGCTTCGGATGCTTGACCGTCTTCAGACCTAGTTTCTGAACCAAGGCCTCAGATATCAAATTCTTCTCGCTGTCCGGATCAACTATGACATCAACCAAGCTGATCTTTACTTGCAACTTAAGCACAAAGAGTTGTTCTTTCGGGTCGTCGTCCTCCTTCGTGGCCTGTCTTCCCGCCATAAGGTTGAGGTTGTTGTTGGGCTGTGTCATCCCCAGAACATTTTTCAGACCTTGAGCTATCACATGTCTTTTTCTCCTCCTTCTTCAATCCTCTTGGCTTGAGATGATGATACTTCTCCCAGCACCGATCAGCAACATGTCATGTCTTCTCGCAGTGACTACAAATCAGTTCTACTTTTTCTGGATCACCCTTCTTCTCCTTCTTATGTTTGGAACCATTAGACTCGCCTCCCGTCTGTTTGGAGTCTTCCTTAGTCTCGCTGCCCTTCTTCTGCTTGCCCTCAATGGCAATAGTCTTCACGCTCGCTCTACAATAGTCTCGACCGTGAATAACTTCATCTCCTTCCGGATATAATCGCTTAATCTCGTCATATACTTCATAAATACAGAATATTCCTCTGTCGTAATGTTGAGGACCATCGCCTGTTGCTGAAACTCCGTGGTGTATTCTTGAACGGTTTGATTGACTTTTTGGCGCAAACCGTACCACTTGTACTAACGTTCTTTAAGGAATCCCACCGTGTAGAACTGCTTCTTCAGTAACTCCTTGAACTTGTTCCACGACACCGTCTTTTTCTCCTGCTTGCAGTAGGATTTCCATCACGTCAACGCGTATCCTGAAAGCTTCAAAGTCGCGAACACAATATTTTCCTTGGACGAATATCCGTAGAGAGTGAAATACATCTCCATACGTTCGATCCAATCATCGATTTTCTCCACATTGACACTCCCATCATAAACAGGAATCTTCACCTTGAAGTCAATCTTCAGGTTCTGGTAAGAATTCTTACCTCTTGATGCAACGCAGCCTTAACGGTCTCCTCTTCGTCGGGATCTGAATCCACTCTCTCCACATCGGACTCCACAATTTTTTCTTGGACTTTGAAGAAGATTCACCTTGTTTATCACTTTCATGGATAAGACTGACGAGTTGTGTCAGAGTAGACCCTATCGTCTCGATCTGCTTCTCCAATGTATCAATCCTCGCTGAATTGTCTCCTTCAGTAATTTTCTTCTTTAAAACCTGGACTCCTTCCAATGAAATAAGGATCTCGCCTAACTTTTTGTATTGCGATCGAGTCAGGACTATACACAGGATGCCCCCTTCACAGGATCTGATCGCTCTGATACCAACTTGATATGAGTCGCCGTGCGAGCACCTTTGATCGCAGAATTATCAAAAGTGGGTTGAGAAGAGGATGACAGAAACACAAGAACAATTCAGTATGTGACGAAGGAAAATACACTTTCTAGATTATGAGTATGAAAAGATTACAATCTCTCTCTCTCATAATCTCACTAGAATCGAGAACAAGCTCTCAATTCTCTCTAAGTCCTAATCTCTCTTAATTAGAATCTTACTTTGATTACATCTGATTGATTAGAAATCCTAAACAATCCCTTATATAGGTGTAATAACGTGGATGACAAAGTGGTAAATAACCAAGCCTAAACCCCACAGGAAAACATGTAAACAGAAACCCAAACAAACCAGGAAACCATCGATGAGTCGACTCACGACTGAGATGAGTCGACTCATCCGAAACTGGACAAAACACAAAACCAACAATGAGTCGACTCATGACTGAGATGAGTCGACTCGTCAGAGATTGGTGACAAACGGCTGAGTTTCATGAGTCGACTTATGACAGGCATGAGTCGACTCAACCTGATGAGTCAACTCATGACTGTTTGAGTTTCATGAGTCGACTTATGACAGGCATGAGTCGACTCAACCTGATGAGTCAACTCATGACTGTTATAAGTCGACTCACGGGCTAAAAAGTGGGTGTTTCGATTCTTCGATTTGTCGTCTCGTTCCACGCTTCAACCTGCGTTCCACTGTGCTGTTTTACATCTCTATTCTCAAGCTATCATGAGAATCATCTATCTTTAAGCTTTCATGAGGATCGCTAAGTTTTGAAGAGAAGATACACCCGTATCCTGCTCATACCAATGGATTTACAGGACTTCAAACTACAGATCAAAACACTCCTCAACAACCTATGTACGGTATTACCAATCAAATAACCCAGCATCAAACAACGTCACTGTCTAGCTGTATCTAATGAAGTCAGCTCCTTATCAATCGTCGTGCTTTCGAGCAAATAATACAAATTGCTCCTTCTGACGTCCTTCATCACAATCATGGACCCCAATGTGACCTTCAAACGTGTATCTACTAAGGTCACCCTATAGCCTGCTGCATCCAAAGCTTCAAGTGAAATGATGTTCATCTTCAATTGTGAAACGAACTTCACTTCATCCAACTTCCGAATCACCCTGTCACTCATTTTAATCCGAACGGTACCAATACCACCAATAGAACATGCATGTCCATTACCTATGAGCACAACATCATCTCTTTCCAACTTCTGAAAGCTAGATAATCAATCCCTCCTAGGACAAACGTGGTAAGAAGCATCCGAATCCAACATCCACTCTATAGAATTGACAACACAAACTGACGGTAGTGCCGACAATGAATAGTCTGAAGAATTCAAATCTGAATTGTTGTCACTAGTCTTGACAACATTCACCTCTGAAGCTTGTACAGTTTTTTCCTTATTCTTCTCGGTTCGATCTAACTTCGGGCATTCAGCTTTCTAATGTCCATCCTCTTTACAAAAAACACACTGATTCCTACGAATCCCACGATGTGCACTTCTAGATTGCGACCTCCTGCTTCGGTTTGAACCACGGCCTTGAACTACTAATGCATCTCCCGATGCCTTCTCAGATGACTCATCAACATTCTTCCTTAACTCATAATTCATCAACGCTGAGGTCACCTCCTTATAGCTAACGATCGTTCTTCCATTAATCATAGTGAGAACAAAGGTATCATAATCATCCTCAGGCAACGAACACAAAAGTAGCATCGTCTTGTCTTCATCCTCAATCATAATATCCACATTGGCCATGTCTGAAAGTAGCTTTGTGAAGTTGTTAACATGCTCCCTGATGGAAACTCTCATCTTCATCTTGAACTGGTAAAACTTCTTCTTCAAGTGAAGCCGATTCTTAATGCTCTTAGTAAGATACTTTTCATTGAGTATTTCCCACATCTTCTTCGTCGATGTCTCATTCATCACATCATAAATAAGATCCGGCGTCAAGCATGACCAAATAACTCCACACGCTCTACTATTCATCTTCTTCCAAACTTTATCTTTCATATCAGCATGTTTCTCTTGCAACTCAAGAGTCTCTTCCAAATTTTGAGATTTCAACATATCCATCACCTGGCACCTCCACAAACCGAAATTGATCTTGCCATCAAACTTCGGAACATCGATCTTCATGTTATTGATGCTCAAACTATGTATCGTCTTCGTAAGAGACGATCCCGATGTGCTTGTTTCACCCATGTTGTCGATCTAACTCTACAAATAGAAATCCTTTCAGAGAATCCTTCAAAGAAGCCTCAAGCTGAACCCGAAGCTCTGATACCACTTGTTGTGCGCGGCGGAAGCGGTCGAATCACACACAAGCCAAACAAGAGAGATCACAATCAAAATAAACAAGCACAATCACTAAATAACACAAGAGATTTACGTGGTTCGGCAATTGCCTACGTCCACGGGGCAAGGGGGAAAGATTTTACTAATAGAGAAAGAGAAATACAAAATTGGGTTACAAAATCTCACCAATAAACCCTAGAACCAAGCTCTCAATTCTCTCACATAGCATATTGAATGTAACTTCACCAAACTATGAGAAGAGAGATGAGTGAGATGCGACAATATTACCATATGGTGATGCTTATTTTCAAAATTTCAGAAGAGTTCATAACCCGTTCCTGAAATATTGCATGATTTAAAGAAGAAATGCCGGTTGATGGGTGTCTAGAGTCTAGACTTTGATGGCTGTATCGCACCTTAGCAGTCGTACATGAGGTCTCAATCTCATCGTACAGCGACTGAAGACGCCTCGAAATACGAAAGATGCTTTGTAAACTATTAAATTAATCTTTCATAGTGACTGAAGCCAGTTTTTACATATACTTGAATCTTTAGTTAGTTAAAAGACAAATCAGTTTCCTCATAGATCTTTCTCGTATATCAGCCTATGTTTAACATTTCAGTAATATTCTTTCTTTGTCATTGCAATGTTATGAAAAAAGATATGCACTCTATGTTCTTATGATGATGATATCTAAATGTATTGAGGGTTTGCATTTTGTCTACGGCAGCATGGGGACCTCAAACGCTTCTTCTTATCCGCTTTCTATCACATGGGAGAGTCCCACTTGGTCTACAACATGTTGTCCCTCCTATGGAAAGGAATTCAGCTTGAAACTTCCATGGGTAGTTTGGAGTTTGCTACCATGATTGCTTCATTACTTGGTCTATCTCAAGGCATCACCCTCCTTATGGCCAAAGGCTTACTTCTTTTCTTCGATTATGACACCCCGTACTACCGGCAATATTCTGTTGGATTCTCTGGCGTTCTCTTTGCCATGAAAGTAGTCCTCAACGCCCAGGCAGACGATTACACTTACGTGCACGGAATGATTGTCCCATCACGACATGCTGCTTGGGCCGAGTTAATCCTCATTCAACTATTCGTGCCTGGTGTATCTTTTCTTGGCCATCTTGGTGGAATACTCGCTGGACTTGTCTATCTTCGGTTGAGAGGTTCTCACACTGGACCTGACCCTGTTGCTGCTTTGATTAGAAATGTTGGTGGGATTATAGGGAGGCCATTGAGGTTTATAAGGAGCTTGTTTTGGCCTCAGCGCCAGAGAATTTCAGGAAGAGGAACTGTAGGAGGAAGCCAGGGTGCATGGGATGCATCTAGTGTTTGGAGATGCGAAGTATGTACTTTTGATAACTCTGGCTTGCTGGATGTATGTGAGATGTGCAGTACAGAACGTGGTGGTCCTGCTTTCTCACCGGTGAGGACGCTGAATAGTTCTGGAGATCTTAGTGTGGATGAGGTTCGACGCAGGAGGCTCGAAAGATTTGATAGATGATATTGTAAAAAGCGTCAGGAGATGGGGAGGTCATTTTATGCCTGTTACTTCAATTTGAAGCATAGGGGTTTCAAATATGAATATGCAATAATTTCTGTACTTGGGGGAGAAGTATCAGTAGCTTGGACATAAAAAAACCTGTTGTCTGGTGGCATTTGATTAAAATACAGAAAAATATGGAAGATACTTGATCCAGTTGGGGTTTTCTTTTTGTATTGTGCATGTTCAAGATATGAAGTCTCGTTTTTTACGAATTTCGAAAAGTGAAAAATTAAACTATTTCATCTCATAGTATAAGCCTCACAATTTAACCAACCCCTTTGGGTGCAGAATAATGAAGAAAAGAGCATAATCTGTAAGTATCTCTATACCTTCTTCTCAAGCCCAGCAGGTTTCAGCCTTTGCAAAAGTCTATGGCAGTGCTTAGCAGTGGAAACGAAAGCTGGATAGTTTCGCAATTACTGCAAATAATAATAACAAATTAATTAACTAAAACTTATATCGCTATAAGATGGAAGAAAAAAAAAACATAAGGGGGAAAAAAAGAAGAAGAAGAGGAATTTAAGATTTATCACTAGAATTTTTAACTATAGAGTTATAATTTGAATAGGATCAGTTTTTTAATATTTGATGATTAGAATTTTATAATTGTAGATAATTTTAATTTGATGCAGGTTCTTATGTGAAGATAGGATTTTTATGTGAATATAGGATTAGATGACCTGTCAACATAATAATTATAATTTAATTAGGATTCTTAAATATTTAAATGAGTATTCTAATTATGGGTGGTTTTAGTTTAATTAGTATTCTAAAATCTTTGTCCCTCCCAAATTCACGATTTCGTGGAGTATGACCCCCCGATTTTTGGCTAATTTTGGTCATTTGTAGTTATTGACAAATAATATCACGAAGGCCAAAATTTGTGATTCATGACTATAAACGTCGATTATTGACAAATAATATCACGAAGGCCAAGATTCGTGATCGTGATTCATGACTATAAACGTTGATTATTGGACATTTTAATCATTTCGAACTGTTAGTAAATAATTTTGCAGAGTCTAAACTTCTAAATTTCATGAATTATAACCCATGATTTTCAGCCATATTTAGTCATTTGGACCAGTTGGTAAATAATTTTGCAAGGGCTAAAATTTATAATTACATAATATATTATCCATAATTTTTAACCATTTTTAGTCATTTTGACCCGTTATCTAATAATTTCGCAATGGCCAAAATCAAGATTTCGTGAGCTATAACCTATAATTTTTGATCATTTTGACCCGTTGTCAAATAATTTTGCGTTGGCTAAATTTCAGGATTTTGTGACCTATAAGCCAAGATTTTGGCCATTTTTAATAGTTTTGATCCATTGAATAATACTTTCATAGAAACCAAAACTCAAGATTTCATGAGCAACACTCTATAATTTTTTGCCCTTTTTTATCGTTTCAATTCGCTAACGAATAATTTCAAGGAGGCCAAAATTCACGATTTAATGAGCTATAATCCATGATATTTTTTCTATGTTTAGTCATTTTGACACATTCGCAAATTAGTTTGCAGAGACCAGAATTTACACTTTTCAAAGCTACATAGCACACAATTTTGGCTACTTTTTATCGTTTCAACATGTTGCAAATAATTTCACGAATGCTAATATTCACTATTTCATGAGCTTTAACCCATAAATTTTTATCATTTAAACTCGTTGGTAAATAATTTAAGGGAGACCAAAATTCATAATTTCATAAGCTATAAACCACGACTTTTTTCTATTCATAGACTTTTCGACCCATTGAGAGTAATTTCACGATGGTCAAAATTTATGATTCATTAGCTATAACCAACGATTTTTGGCAATTTTTTTGTTATTTTGTCCTGTTAGCAAATGATTTTGTTGAAATCAATCTTCACATGTGCTAGTACCTAAAATTTTTAACTATTTTAGTCATTTTGATGCATTAACAAATAATTTCACGAAGATGAAAATTTAAGATTTTATGACCTAAGGACCACGATTTTTTGCGAAGGCCAAACTTCATGAGCTAACTCATGATTTTTGTCATTTTTTTATTTTGACTAGTTAGCAAATAATTTGACGAAGGCCAAGTTCTTGAGCTATAATCTATGATTTTTGGCTAGTCATTTTGACCCTTTGTTAAATTAATCTCGCAATGGCCAAAATTGATGATTTAGTGGACTATCCAACGTGATATTTTGCCATTTTTTGTTTTTTTGGCTCATTAACTATAAATTCATAGAGGCCAGAGTTTAGAATTTCATGAGCTATAACCCACAACTATTGGACATTTTTAGTCGATTTGAATTGTTAGTAAATAATTTTACAAAGCCCAAACATCATGATTTCACGAGCTGTAACTCACAATTATTTATTTATTTTTATTCATTTTGACTCATTGGCAAAAAAATCTATGGAGAATAGACTTCAATTTTTCTTATGTTATAACCCATGATTTTTTACCATTTTCAGTCATTTTGACGCATTGGTAAATAATTTCGTAGAGGCCAAAAGTAACAGTTTCATGAATTACAAAACATGATTATTTTTGTCCGTTTTTAGTTATTTTTTTCCCGTTGTTAAATAATCTTGTGGAGGCTAAAATTTAAGATTCCGTGAACTATAACTCACGCACGATTAATGACCATTTTTAGTTATTTTGACCCGTTGTGAAATAATTTCGCAATGGCCAAAATTTATATGAGCTACAACCCATGATTTTTAATTGTTTTTAGTTGATTTGAACAGTTGTGAATTTTTTTGCAATGGACCAAAATTCACATGAGCTACAACCCATGATTTTTTAATCGTTTTTAGTTGATTTGAACAGTTGTGAAATAATTTTGCTATGACCAAAATTCATGATTTTATGAGCTATAACCTGTAGTTTTTGCCATTTTTAATTATTTTAATCCGTTGTTAAATAATTTCGTGAGCTATAACTCGTGATTTTCGACCATTTTTAGTTATTTTTAACCCGATGTGAAATAATTTCGTAATGACCAAAATTCATGATTTTGTGAGCTATAACCTTTAATTTTTAATCATTTTTAGTCATTTTAACCCGTTGTGAAATAATTTCATGGCAGCGTGAGCTATAACCTATAATTTTTGGCAAAATTTTTTTGTAGTTTCAATCCATTGGCAAATATTTTCGCAGAGTAAAATATATGATTTCATGAGGTACAAATGATAATTTGTGGCCATGTTTAGTCATTTCTATCTGTTGGCAAATAATTTTGTGGAGGTCAAAATTTATAATTTCATGAGCTGTAATCCATAATTTTGGACCATTTTTAGTTTGTTGACACGTAAGTTCGTGATTTTCTGAGCTATATAACACATGACTTTGGCCATTTTTAGGTATTTTGACATGTTGACAAATAATTTCACGATGGCCATAATTCATGATTTAATGAGCTCTCACCCTTGATTTTTTTCCATTCTTAGTCTTGTCGACCCATTGGCAGATAATTTTACGGAGGATAAAGTTCGTGATTTCATGAGTTAATACCCATTAGTTTTGTCATTTTTAGTTATTTTGATCTGTTGCCAAATAATTTTGCGGAGGTGAAATTTTACAATTTAGTGAGATATAGCCAATGATTTTTGGCCATTTTTAGCTGTTTTGACCCATTAGTAAATAATTTTACGAAGGCCAAAGTTCATTGTTTTATGATTTGTAACTCATGAATTATCATTTTTAGTCATTTTGATGCATTAGCAAATAATTTTGTAGAGGCCAAAATTCATGATTTCATGAGTTATACCCACAATTTTTGCCATTTTTAAGTCCTTCGACCTGTTAAGAAGTAACCTCGTGAAGGCCGAAATTTAAGATCTCACGAGTTATAATCCATAATTTTTATCCATTTTTATTATTTGGCCCGTTGGCATATAATTTTACAGAGTCCAATTTTTATGATTTCATGAGCTATAACCCACTACTTTTAGCATTTTTAGTCTTTTCGAGCAATTTGCAAATAAATTTGTTGAGGCCGAAATTTACATTTTCATGAATGACAACCCATGATTTTTAATCATTTTCAATCAACTTGACCCATTAGCAAATAATTTCTCCGTGGCCAAATTTCACGATTTCATACGCTATAACCCATGATTTTTAGACATTTGTAGTTATTTCAAACTGTTGCTATATATTTCGCAGAGTCTAAACTTAACCATTTCATAAGGCATAACCTGAGATTTTTTATTATTTTTATTCATTTAAACCCATTAAAAAATAATTCCATGGAGACCAAAATACTATATCATGAGCCATAACCCATAATTTTTTGTCATTTTAAGTCATTTCGCCGCATTAACATATAATTTCGTAGATGCCAAAATTCACGATTTCATAAGGTATATCTCATAATTTTTTATATTTTTATGTCATTTTGACTTGTTGACAAGTACTTTTGTGGAGGCTATAATTTAAGATTTCATGAGCTATGATTCATGATTACTGGCTATTTTTTATCATTTCAACCCATTAGGAAATAATTTTGTAGAGTCCTAATTTTACAATTTCATGTGCTATAACTCATAGTTACTAGCCATTTTTTGTTAACTGGCAAGTAAATTCGTGGAGGCCAAAATTCACCGTTTTATGACTTATAACCCATGAATTTTGACTATTTTTAGATATTTTAATTCGTTAGTAAATAATTTCGCAGAGTCCAAATTTCACAATATCATGAGCTGGCACCCATTATTTTTGGCCATTTTAAGTCGCTTCAACTGTCGTCAAATAAGTTAGCAGTGGTAAAAGCTTATGACTTCATGAGCTATAACTCACAATTTTTCACCATTTTGTGACGCCCCTGGGTTCACACAAGGCTGCAGTCCGAAGTGAAACCAGAGATGTCAAACCTGCCATGCACCACACCGTGCAATAACATGTTTCACCATCACAATTACTATCTCTCTAGTGGAATCAAAAAAAGGTGTAGTACAAAGCAAGTAAAAGGTTATACAACAATTGCTTAATGGAGTGATAGGACTCAAATAAACACATCTCATAAATCAAAAATAAGCTGAAGCACACAGTCAAAGTCCGAAATGAACAGTAAAGATCTGGAGAGCTCAACATGTCTCAAAGTACATAATGTTTAATACAAGAAATAAGGCAAACAGCCTTTATAACTCTAGAACATAAACCTCTCAAGTCTAAAACGTCT